TCTCTGAGCCACAAAGAAGGAGGCTTCTCAAAAGATAGCATTTGACTCCCTTTAACTTTCATCCACTACAGGCTCTTACTGCTTTTGCAGCTGTGAGAAAAATTCATCTTAATAAAAATGTCTGCATCAATCATGAAATCAGCATGAAATGGGTAGAAGGTTTTAGTTCTAGCAGCTTCATTCTCCAAAAGTCTGAAGATGATTTAAAAAAAAAGTATCGGAGGCATTATTATAACCTGCTAAGATTGTAATGGTCGTTGCTCAGAAATGAGGCTAATGGGACAGAATTATTAGTTTCACTGTATTTTGTTTATTTGGCCACGCGATGGGGCATGTGGGATCCAAGCTCCTCATCAGTGATTGAACCTGGGCCCTGCACTGGCCGCGCGGCGTCTTAGCCACTGGGTCCCAGGAGCTTCTTGAGCTCCATTATTTCTGGGTGAATTTCGGTGAATTTTCGGCAGTATTCCACTTGTCGTCAAATCTTTACCTTGTTACTCAACAATAGCTTCTTTTCAGTGATTGAACATTTTCTATCAATCTTTTTTCCCCACTCAAAAGCTATTTTTTTTTTTACCTAATCTTTCAAGGGTCCTTAAAATTTCAAAAGTTTAAAAAAAAATACTTTTCTAGAAAACTTTGAAAGTCTGAGGGAATCATATATACTTTTCAAGATTTCCTGCTCATTCACTTATTCTAGACTCAAAATAATTTTCTAAACAGTAAGCATTCAGATGCTGAGCTGAACCTACCACAGGTGTTTAATTAAATATTATGAATGCCAGTGCTGTCTTAATGCTGTGTTCTCAGATGTGAGGAAAAGATTTTCGCATGGGCAGATGACCTTGGGTATTTTATAACCGGACCTACTGAACCCCGAGGGGTGATGGCAGAACAGATGTAACCTCCTGGAATGTTCTCTGTGGTCTGAACTGTTCATGCTGAGTGGCTGAATGAAGCTTTGTAACCCACTTCCGGCCAAACCTGATGCCATCCTGGTCGTGTTTTAAACTCTTCCTATTTTTAGACCGCTTGGGAATTTAGACGATTTAGGAAGGTCATAGCGTCCGAGGCAAGTAGAATGCCGGCTGTTGGTGCTGTGTTAGCTGTCTGCTTCAGCCACTGCCGGGTTCTCAGGATGCTTGGTGTGGGTTGGTGATGATTAGTGGAGGCCATCCCAAGGAAAACTGTCAGTGTTGCCTGAACAGTGACTTGGTTTCCTTTCTCAGTCTCCGCTTGGTCCTCTAGCTGTCAGGGGTTGAGTCTGGGGACCTAAGAGACGGTCGGTCCACTCCGTGGACGGAAGGCTGAGGCCCGCACGGAGAGCTGAGCTTCCCTGGCCTCACCTTCCTCCCGTGCTACACCTGCCAGGGGAGCCATTGCAGAACCCACGGCTCCCCTGGCGAGCTGCGCTAGTCAGAAATTATTAGCTATTAAATCCACGTTTCTCAAGTTAAATGATCAGTAAGCCGCTTACCGATAGAAAAAAAGCTGCTTTATCTTCAGTTTTACAAACCGTCTGTCTCTATCTTTAGTGAAAGTGGTGAAAGTGAAGGACTGAAATATCCTGAATGAAATGCCTGCTAAATGCAAAAGAACCGTGAATTATGTTCAGTGTAGTAATTTTCTCTCCTTGTAAGTTTTACAGCTCTCTTTGTTGCCTTTGCTGAGTGTAGTTTGTTTATTTTTTAGAAAGATGTATTTTTGGGCTGCACTGCGCCCTTGTTGCTTTGTGTAGGCTGTCTCTAGTTGTGGTGAGCAGGCCTCTCCTCACCGCAGTGCCTGCTTCTCTTGTGAGGCTCGGGCTCCAGGGTGCGGGCGCAGCAGTTGTGGCTCACGGACTGAGCTGCTCCGAGGCACGTGGAGCCTTCCCAGACCAGGGGTGGAACCCGTATACTCTTTGTTGACAGGCGGGTTCTTAGCCACTGGACCATCAGGAAAGTGCCAAGAGATTTCCAAATTTACTCTTATTTTTCCCCATGAATTATGATTACATTGACCTTTGATCAGCAAATGGAAAGCTAGTCTTTTGATTGCTAGCTGATTTTTTTTTAAATATCAGGTTTATTGAAGTCCAGTTCACATATAATAAAATTTACTACTGACAAACACATACATCACAATTCAAGGTACTGATCACCTTCACCACCCCCAGAAAATTCCTTTGTAGTCACCCTCTTCCTCCACGTCAGCACCTGTCTTTCTCAAGATGCTTTGGCAGTAGAACCAGCCAGCGTGCGGCCTCTCTGGTGCCTCTGAGAGTTACCCACGCTACCTGCAGTCTCCTCTGTCGTCAGGTGGTATCTGTCACACAGACAACGTGCTGTGTTTTTCCCCTCATCAGTGGAAAGGCATTTGGGCTGTTTCCAGATTTTGGTGGTTATACATAAAGCCACTTTAAACAGTCATATCTAAGTTTTATTGTGAACATATGTACTCATGCATCTTGGGTAAATAACCTGGGAAGGGGTTGCTGGGTTGTATGTTAAGTGTGTGTTTAATATTATAATGGGGTGCAGGCTTTTTTCCCAAAGTGGTTGTACCATTTTGCATTGCCTCAAGCAATATTTTTTTTTCACAAGCAATGTTTAAGAGCTTGATTGTTTTACATTCTTGACAGCTCTTGTTTTGGCAGGTTTTATTTTTTTAATAGCCATAGTAATAGGTGTGGAGTGGTATCTCATTGTGGTTTTGATTTGCATTTTCCTATTGACTCATGATGTTGAGCTTTTTTTTTTTTATGTGCTTGTTTGCCATCTTTATATCTTCTTGGGAAGCTTTTAGATATTTTGCCCATTTTTAAATTGGGTTGTATGTTTTCTTATTATGGAGTTTTGAGACATCTATATATGTTCTAGAAACAAGTCCTTTTACAGATTTGCATGTATATTCTCCCAGCCTGTGGCTTGTCGTTTGATTTTCCTAATAGTATCTTTAGGAGAAGAGACAGTTTTAACTTTGGTGAAGTCCAGTTCATTTATTCATTCTTTTGTGGATTGTGCTTTTGGTGCTGATGTGAGAAATCTTGGCCTAATCTAAGAGTATAGAATTTTTACTGTGTTTTAGGAATTTTATGGATTACACTTTATATTTTAGGTCTTTGATCCGTCTTGCGTTAATTTTTGTACATGGTATAAAGCACAAGTTGACACTTTTTTTTTTTTGGTCTGAGGATGTAAATTTTTCCAGTACCATTGTTGAACATGTTTGGTATTATTGTTGTTCAGTCACTGAGTCATGTCTGACTCTTTGTGCCCCCATGGACTGCAGCACACTAGACTTCCCTGTTCATCACCATCTCCCAGAGTTTGCTCAAACTCATGTCCATTGAGTCGTTGATGCCATCCAACCATCTTATTCTCTTTTGCCCCCTTCTCCTTCTGCCCTCAGTCTTTCCCAGCATCAGTGTCTTTTTCCAGTGAATTGACTCTTTGCATCAGATGGCCAAAGTATTGTAGTTTCAGCTTCAGCATTAACCTAAAGGTTAATTTCCTTTAGGATTGCCTGGTTTGATCTCCTGGCAGTCCAAGGGACTATCAAGTATTCATTCTCCAGGACCGTAGTTGGAAAGCATCAATTCTTCGGAGTTCAGCCTTCTTTATGGTCCAACTCTCATATCTGTACATGACTCCTGGAAAAACCATAGCTTTAAGTATATGGACCTTGTTGGCAAAGTGGTGTCTCTGCTTTTTAATATGCTGTCTAGGTTTGTCATAGCTTTTCTTCCAAGGAGCAAGTATCTTTTAATTTCATGGCTATAGTCTTTACGCCCAAGCCTTTGACTATGTGGATCACAACAAACTGTGGAAAATTCTTCAAGAGATGGGAATACCAGACTACCTGACCAACCTCCTGAGAAATCTGTATGCAGGTCAAGAAGCAACTGTTAGCATTGTATATGAACAACGGACTCATTCCAAATCAGGAAAGGAGTATGTCAAGGCTATATATTGTCACCCTACTTATTTAATTTATATGCAGAGTACATCATGCAAAATGCCAGGCTGGATGAAGCACAAGCTGGAATCAAGATTTCCAGGAGAAATATCGATAACCTCAGGTATGCAGATGACACCACCCTTATGGCAGAAAGCGAAGAAGAACCAAAGAGCCTCTTGATGAAAGTGAAAGAGAAAAATGAAAAAACTGGCTGAAAACTCAACATTGAGAAAACTAAGATCATGGCATCTGGTCCCATTACTTCATGGCAAATAGATGGGGAAATAATGGAAACAGTAAGAGACTTTATTTTCTTGGGCTCCAGAATCACTGCAGATGGTGACTGCAGCTATGAAATTAAAAGACATTTGCTCCTTGGAAGAAAAGCTGTGACCCACCTAGACAGCATATTAAAAAGCAGAGACATTACTTTGCCAACAAAGGTCCGTCTAGTCAAAGCTGTGGTTTTTCCAGTAGTCATGTATGGATGTGAGAGTTGGACTGTAAAGAAAGCTGAACGCCAAAGAATTGATGCTTTTGTACTGTGATGTTGGAGAAGACTCTTGAGGGTCCCTTGGACTGCAAGAAGATCCAGCCAGTCAATCCTAAAGGAAATCAGTCCTGAATATTCATTGGAAGGACTGATGCTGAAGCTGAAACTCCAATACTTTGGCCACCTGATGCAAAGAATTGACTCATTGGAAATGACCCTGATGCTACGAAAGATTGAAGGCGGGAGAAGGGGATGGCAAGGATGAGATGGTTGGATGGCATCACTGACTTGATGGACATGAGTTTGAGTAAGCTCCAGGAGTTGGACAGACATGGAAGCCTGACGTGCTTTATTCCATGGGGTCACAAAGAGTCAGACGCAACTGAGCCACTGAACTGAACTGAACTGTTTGTGTTAATGTTGTTTATTATAGTTAAATTTGGATATTCTCTGGCACATAGTCTTAAAAAGAGGACGTTAACAAGGATCTTTAATAAATCCGGACTGTTCATTTTATAATACTAGAGATTCGTTTAGTTGTATATTAACTCCACGCTTTTTGTTGAAGGTCTCAAGATTCTGCCCTCCAAGAAAATCTCGCCATGATTGGATAGGACCTCCAGATAAATATTCAAACCTTCGACCTATTCACTTTTACATCCCTGAAAATGAGTCACCACTGGAACAAAAGCTAAGAGAATTGAGACAAGAAACACAAGAATGGAACCAACAGTTCTGGGCAGACCAGAATTTGACTTTTCATAAGGTATGTTTAGGTTTCAGGTCAGAATGAGAAATAATGCAGTTGGCCACTTGGGGGCGCTGAATCTTTAGTATCTGCTCTGCCTTTGAGTTACTTGGTAGCTTCTCAGTCCCTCCCCTCCACACATACACATGTGTGTGTATACACAGAAGTTTAAAATCAACATGTAACTGTAGAGAAGGAACATTGGTCCTCCATAGACTCACAGGTCTTGAGACTCTCCAAGAACTAAAGGGAGTGAGTAGCAGGGCCAGAACTAGAACTGCGGACTCCCGTGTATACATGCCCGTGTGTGTGTGTGTATGACAACAAGGGGGTCTAGGATGTGTTGTCATTCTTCCTGAGAATCCAGAATTCTTAACAGCATGCTCATCAGTAAACTACACCAGAAAGAAGTATAACTGTTCTAATCCAGAAGGAAGACTTAGGCGGTGTGTGTTCATCCATTTGGGCAGGCTAAGTCAAATTGAATGTATTTATCTTCTGTGGATTTATAAACAAATAGTGTCTCCCTAAGTTTATTAAAGCTCTCAGTTTCAAATCCTCTCTCAAGCAGGGAACTTTTAACTAAGTTGAGATGGTTTAAAACGGGCTTTGAGATGGGCCGCTTCTCAGGAAACCCACATCCAGACTTCTCCAGAGCGCTGACAGCTTGTCCTAGCCGAGGGAAACAGAGAGACAGAGAAAGGGAGTTCTGATAGCTGCCTTCTTTCAGGAAAAAGAGGAGTTTGTTCGCTCAAGACTCAAAGCCAAAGGCCTGGATCTGAGAACCGAATCAGGTCAGTTTGTTCTTTCTTTCTTCTCCCTGTTTTCTTGGAGTAACTGTATGGGAAGATGAAGAAGCAAGGATGCTGGGGGCTTCAGTGGCAGACTGTGAGGGGCGCCGGGCGGACCCCCGGCTGAGGAGCCAAGATCCCGCTTGTCTCTGCACAGCCAAGAAAAGAAGCGGGGCCTGGGGGTTGTTGAGTGAAGCAGCGGAAGCTCGGGGCGCAGGTCTGGCTCCGTGGGGCAGGCACGTTCTCGGCGGCACGTGTTTCCGTCCTCCCCACGTTCCCTCTTCTCCCTCTGGACGAGGTCAGCCCACTTACCATTCTGGGTCATTCCAATTGATGACCTCTTGCTGACCTTTGGACTTCCATCTGAGGTCCCGTGGCTTCAGCAGCCTCTCTGTCCTGCACTGGCCTCTCCCCGGGATCCCTGGCGGCAGTTCCTGGTCCCACCGGCCGTGAGTTGGAGGCCATGGGGTCATCCTGGAAGCCTCAACACCCCCCCACCCCCCGTGGTCTCTCCCCCGGGTTTACCTCTTAGCTGTGCTCAGCACCTTCGCTGCTCCCTGTCCTGGAAACATGGCTTTAATTCAGGCCCTCGTTAACTCTGCCTAGCGCGGTATCTTCCTGACTGGCTCCCTGGCCCCCAGTCTTGGAATCAGGGCTCTTCAAGCTTTCTGTAAAGAGCTGGATAGTAAACAGTGGAGTCTTTCTTGGCCATGAGGGTCTCTCCTTCAACTACTCAACTCTGCTGTTGTTCTGTGAAAGCAGCTGTAGAAAATACATAAATTAATGGTTGTGAACTTGCCCCAATAATACTTTATTTACAAAACCAGGTGGTAGGCTAGGTTTGACCTACAGGCTGTAGTTTAGCCACTCATGTCTGAAACCCATTCTTTGCAGTGTAGCCAGACTCTTCTACAAAATGCCGCTCTGACACTGCCACTCAGCTTGTTTAGGCGTTTAGATTTCCTGTGGCGGCAGAAGACCATGCTCCTCCGCATGTGTGGATTGGAGGCCAGCCCGGCCCCTGCTGTGTCTGCCCCTTTCCCGGCTCCTTCCCCAGGCCGCGCCCCTGGTGTGCCGCTGCACTCAGTTCCCCCTGCCTGCCATGCAGTCCTTTCTTTGTGGGTGGAGAGTCTAGTGCTCAAAATAGCCTTTCATCGTTTTCTCCTCCGGCTGTTGATGTTAGACCTGAACGTTTTATACTGGTGGTTAAGCAGACGTCTCCTGTGAAAACATTATGATGGAAAACCTGAAACCACTGACCCCAAAAGCCAGGTCCGTGTTGGGCCAGAGCAACGTCACTCTATCTGCTCACTGCAGCCTCGCCAGTGTGAGTTAGAATTCGGGGCTGGGGCGGGAGGAGTAGCCCCATGATGGGCTCGGCCGCTGTGTTTGGTCTGCTGCATGGGCCCCATCCCCGGTCTGCGAGGGCAGGAGCCAGCAAAGGTGCGGTGTTCCAGCAGGGGTTGTTTGTTTTACTGAGCAATAAATACATTTTTAATTAATTTATTTGGTTGCATCAGGATTGTCACTGTGACATGAGGGATCTTCTGTTCTGTGCACGGGCTTCTCTCTAGCTGTGGTGTGTGAGCTTAGCTGCTCCTTGGCGTGTGGGGTCTTAGTTCCCTGACCAGGGATCAGACCTGCATCCCTTGCGTTGGCAAGTGGATTCTTAACCACTGGACGACCAGGGAAGTCCCCAGCAATAAATATTTTAATTTTTGTTTTTTTTATGATGGCAATCTTCAAGTTTTTTTTTTTTTTTTTCAAATTCAAAGCTAAACCACAAGCAGGTGCAACTGAGACATTTTATCTCACATTTGCACACTCCCTTTGAATCCTCCAAGTGTGAGGCCAGGGCGGGGGCATCGAGGTGAGGATGGGCTCTCTTCCCAAAGCCTGGAATGATGGCCCTGATTCCAGGACTGTGCTGCCATTTGCACATATTTTCTGCTGTTTCCTGCAGTGACTCCTTGAAGTGGATACTGTTAGTTAATGTTGTTCTCTGGAAGGACTGATGCTAAAGCTGAAGCTCCAGTGCTTTGGCCACCAGATGCAAAGAGCCAACTCATTGGGAAAGACCCTGATGCTGGGAAAGATTGAGGGCAGGAGGAGAAGGGGGTGGCAGAGAACAAGACGGTTGGATGGTATCACCGACTCAATGGACATAAGTTTGGGCAAACCCTTGGAGGTGGTGAAGGGCAAGGAAGCCTGGTGTGCTGGAGTCCAAGGGGTTGCAAACAGTCGGACATGATTGACCCACCGAACAGCTGTTACTTTTACTGTTTTGTGGAGGAGGTGACTGAGGGCAAGCTGTTTGACCAAAATCACACAGTGAGTAAGTGGAGGCGGCCCAGGTCCTGTCCTGGAGAATGGGTCCCACGCCACGAGCCCTCTTCTAACAGATGGGGAAGTTGTTCTGGGTCTTTTGTTAATATTGTGGATTCCTACTGATGGTGTGACTGAGTATTGAATTTGGGCCTTAATTAGATATCAGATTAGTTTGGTAAGAAAACAGGAAGGAATGTTTTGAAGGAAGGACTCATGGAGGGATCTGCCTGCTGTGTCAGCTCTTTAAACAGTTACCATCTTGCAGTGATGGAAATGCTGTGTGTGTGGCGGGGGAGTGACGGGTGTGTCGCCCCCTCGGGCCAGAACCTGCGTGTGTGATACTGAGTGTAGGGGTCCCACAGAACCCAGGGAGAGCAGGTTTGTGTAATAAATGGTGTTGGAGAAAGTACTTTTAGCCCAAATGGATCAGTTTAGATTCATGCTTCTTTTAATTTGAATATATTCCAAATGGATCAGGTTAATTATTAAGAATCAGTTGTTCCTGAAGTAAAAAGTTAAGTACACCACTCCCAACTGCAGAAAGTCTAACAGGATAAAAGGGAGCCTCCACTATCGGAGTGGTGGCGAGTCCCTGCGCTTGCCAGCAAGGGCAGAGTGCTCAAGGGCGTCAGAACCGACGCTGTCCGGCTTGGGTGGCGCTCGCCGTGGTCTCTCCTTCCGGAAAGGAGAGTTGCTGAGGAGACAGGAAGTGCCCAGACCTGGGCGTGGGCTGCACTGACACCAGTGGCCCCGGGAGCCCTGCACGCCTCTGCCCTCTCATGTGCACTCCGCTCTGCCCCCTGCTTCGGCCTTCTCTTGCTGTGAATGGGCTTTCCCTCCGAAGTCCGAGGAAGTCAGCAGCCCGAGGCTCCTCCCAGGCCGAGCTCTGTCCAGGGAGCGGGGCAGCTCCACACATGGTGCCCAGCAGGCCCGAGGGCTGGGCAGGCAGAGGGGCCCGCGTCCTGAGACACTTTAGCAGTGGACCGCAGGATGGGGGGTTTGTGGCAGAGATGGGGAGGCAGTCTGGACTCTATGAAAAGCCTTAACAAATTCGTAGAAGTAACAGGACACCTATAGATGAATAATGTGACTCCAAGAAAAAATTTGCTCAAACTCCATATTTTGCAGTGCATGTTAAACCAGCAGCCAGGCCTCATTTGACACTTACTGAACTCAAGGGGAAGACGTTTTCCCAGCTCCCTTCCAGAAGGATTCAGCTGCATGAAGTACGCATATGCCAGGAGGCAGGGAAATTTTGGCCACAGAATATCTAAGAATTTATCTTGGAGAAAGGGTTCTCAGTGCTCCATGCGGCGGTGCCCTCTTAAGCAGCAGCGGGAGCATCTGTGCCGCGCCATGCTAAGTTGGCTTTGGCCATGTCCGAGTCTTTTGTGTCTGTAGCCCACCAGGCTCTTCTGTCCATGGGACTGTGCAGCAAGAGTCCACGAGACTGGGTTGCCGTGTCCTCCTCCAGGGGATCTTCCCGACACGGGGATCCAATATGCGTCTCCTGCAGCTCCCGCATTGTAGGTGGATTCTTTACCATCGGAGCCAGCAGGGAAGCATCTAACAATTTTAGATTAGATAAGGCCATGGGGGCCCACTGGCTCTAGACGTTCGCTGGAATGTTCTGCAGCAGTAGGGAAAAATTGTTGGCTTAATTTCAAGTGCAAAAAGCAGAATACCATGGCTTCATCTCTGCCTGTCCCCGGATTGAACCTCGTTTGCAGGGCAGGCAAACGAGGTGGGAGGCCTCTCACCCCTCGTTCCTTTCACTGCTGGAGTGTTTGTGCAGGTGTGGGGGGTGCCGTCAAGATGGATTTACTTAGTCAGCTGGTGTTTATGAAATACCCTCTAGGTTCTCAGGGAGCATGTAATCAATTAGGTTGTTCCACCCATCTTTTTCATTTTACCAGTTCAGTGTCACATGGTGGTATTGACAGGTGTGGAATCCAAATTACTCAGCAGTTACGGTGCATCTGCTTTATGCTGAGCGTCACCCTGGAACGTTTGGGCAGGACCCCAAACTTGACCAGTAGCTGAAGGTGGCACCCTGCCTGTCCTTAGCACCCTGGGGCCCTGCCCCTCTGCCCGCAGTGGTGATGGGTGCGCCCCTCGGTTTCCGGCCCGGCCTGCCTGCCACGCGGCTATGACTCAGTTTGTCTCAAAGCAGCCTTGTGAGGTATGCTGTGGCGATCCACGTCCTGGAGACGGGAGACGCCACAGGCTGGCTGCGGGCCAGTGAGGGTCAGAGCCCTGTCTAGGGAGCTGCCACCTGCTGGGCGCGAACGGCGCTGCCCTCCTCCTCCACTCCTCCCGTCCTGGGAGCGGTTGGGGACGCTGGAGGAGGGCGCCCACTCGCCTCTCCCTGGAGGACCGCCGGGGCCCCACCCCCTGAGGCTGCCAGCCCCGTGCCCCCGCCCTGCCTGCCCCTTGCGCTCACGCTGGGCTCCCCGCTTGGTGTCTGCAGACCCTCATTGGCTCTGCCTGGGCTGCCCCCTTTCTCTGCCCTGCGGGATCCTATTCATCCTTCAAGACCCAGCCAGACGGTCACCTTCCCTGGAGCCTTCAGCGTCCCTCTCCTTGGGCAGTGGCTGTTCCCCCTCTTTCCCTGGTTAGCATCCATGCATTGGTTGATCTCCAGTGTTTTTCCAACGCCCGCCACATCCCAGGCTAGTTTGGGGGCTAGTGAGGACAAGAGAGCCGTGGCCCCGCCTTTGTGGGCTGGTTTCCTCGGGTGGGGTGGGAGGGTGCCCCGCTCAGGGAGTGTTCTGCACACCCTGGTCATTGACCCCTGGAGGAGAAAGAAGCTAGGAGGGCAGATGGAGTGGGTGTTTCCACAGGGGCCTCCGGGAAGCCTCTCATGGAGGAGGCAGTGGGAGGTTGGCAGAGGATCTTCTAGGTGGAGGTTTTGAGGAGCAGCAGGGGCCTGAGTCAGAGGAGCGAGGACTTCACGCAGACACGGGGTGTCCAGGTGGCACGCGGGCCCCTTGTTAGGCTGGTAGGGACATGGCCCTTGTCTCCTGTCTGGGGATGGCCACGATCGTGCTGTGCGGGCGCAGCGTTGGCCACAGCCCTCCTGTTTCTCTAAAGCTGTGCCTGGGGGTTGCCTTCCCGGCTCTGTCTCTGTCTCCCCCAAATCCTGGTGGGCTGGAAGCGTCAGCGTCGCTCTGCATTCGGGAGACTCGGCCTCCACCTGGAGATGGTATCTGTCAGGGGCAGGTGGACTCACCCTCCGCATGGGTGCGTGCTGCACGTGCAGGAGCTTGGGCCTTTTAAGCCAGAGTGTCCCCGCCCCACGTGGTCTCCTTCCTTCGCCCGGAGCCCCTGTCCACTGGGCCGTCCTGCATCATAGGAGCCCTACTGCGCACCCCGGCAGGGTGTGGCCCCTGTTCTGTGTGGCCTTGCAGATCTGGTGAGCGTGTGGGGGTGCAGGGGAGCCCTGGGAGTGGGCGCCGCACTGGGCATGTCCTCCCGTGAGGTGGCCAGGGTCTAATGATAGAGGAAGATAGTTTTTCCTCCCTAAGTCTTTTTTTTAATCACTGAGATATAATCCGCTTACCACAGAATGCACACTTTAAAAGTGTACAGCTCAGAAGTTTTAGTACTGACTAGATTGTACACCCATCACCACCATCTGATCCCCGAGAAGAAAGCCTGTACCCACTGGCAGCCGTTCCCAGCTGCCTCCTCCCACCAACCCCCGGCATCCACCACTCTACTCCTGTCTCCATGGATTTATCTATTCTGGACATTCCCAGATAAATGGCATCCTATGCAGGCACCCCTTATTTGTACTTTGAAGATGCTGTGGGTTTTTTTTACAAATTAGATGTTTTATAGGCAAGTCTGTTGGCACAGTTTTTCCAACAGAATTATTTTGTAATTAAGTTATGTATGTTTTTTAGGAGATCATTCTATTGCACACGTAATAGACCACAGTACGGTGTAAACATACCTTTAAAAGAATGTGTATTTGGCCACGCTGGGTCTCCGTTGCAGCACCCAGGGCCTTCGTTGTGGCGCACAGACCCAGCAGTGGCTTAGGAGCTTAGCTCTTCCTCGGCATGTGGGATCAGTTCCCCGACCTGGGGCTGAACCCTCGTCCCCTGCATTGCAAGGTGAATTCTTAGCCCCTGGACTGCCGGGAAGTCCCTAGAATTGTTTTAATTTTATTTTCAAATTGTATATTGCATGTGTATCAAAATACAGTTGATGTCCGTATATTGATGGTGCATCCTGCAGCCCTACTGAACTCACCATTATCTCTAATAATCGTTTGTAGAACCTTCTCCTTAAATCTTTTTTTTTTTTCCTTCTCCTTAAATCTTAATGTTCACGTTGTATTTAATTTTCAGGTCAGAAAGCAACGTTGAATGCAGAAGAAATGGCTGACTTTTACAAGGAATTTTTAAGTAAAAATTTCCAGAAGCACATGTATTATAACAGGTGGGTATCTGCTTTTTTCCTGAAAATCTGAAAATCACATGCATGTTGGCAGGGATTATTTTGCTCCCTGAATTTAACATTTTTGTCTATGTTTAAAGTAGACATTGCTATCAACTTAGCTTTTGTCCTTTTAAATAAAGTGGATGGCTCACAGTTACTGCATGGCCGCCCCCTGGCAGTGTGCACCGCTTGGGCGTAGAGAGTGGGTTCTGCCCGCATGCTCACTGCATGTAAGGGGAGCACAGCCCGGGGCAGGGGCAGCCGGAGGGGTCACGGCATCTCGTGTTTGAAAGCGGGGAGCCCAGCAGGGTCGGGGGGAGTGGCCCAGCAGGCAGCAGCAGGGGCTCCTGCAGGCCAGAGGCCGAGCCGTTTCAGCCGTGCGAGGAGGAAGGAGCGGTGGAGTCAGAAAGGGAGCGTTTTCCTGACGCAGTGACAGGTCTGGGCACAGTCGCCCACAGCTGCCAGGGGCACTGGGCGGCAAGGCCGACGGGGACGCCGCCGTGGCTGGGCCTGGCTGACGGCACCCGGGCTCCCGGGGCCTCTTCACGCCGGGCGGGGCGAGGCCGTGGCCTGTGTGCGAGGTGGTGAGACACGGGGAGGCCCTCACCCGCGCGGGGGCTGCTGTCTGCCCGGCCCCCGGGTCTGACGCCAGGTTACGGAAAGAGACGAGAGGGCACTCACAGGCTGTGCCTCAGTGAGGGCTTGAGGACCCAGCCCCCAGAGGCTGGAGATGCTGCGAGACAGATGTTCCGGTTTCAGCAAGTAACGAGGGTGGTGAAAAGTGAACGAGGAGCGGGGACTGTTAGTAAGAGAGCCTTCGTTCTGACAGACCACCTGTTATTTTTGACAGGGGAAACCAAGCAGTCACTGTGTATTAGGCTGTATTAATACACAGGGACTGTGAATGGTAAGCGATTGTTCACTTTATCAGATACAGTGATGGTATTGCGGTTCTGTGCGTTTAAAAAGCGTTTAAAAAGTGCTTTGACGATGCACAGTAACACATGTTCCCAGGTAGAGTGACAGGATGTGGTCTGAGGCTTGCTCTGACATTCCTGGAGCAGTGACCATGCCGGATGGGCAGGTGGGGCAGGGTCCGGAGCTTGGGCTGACGGTCGAGGCTGGAGGAGCCCTCGAGTGATGCGCGAACCTAAAGCCCAGTCCTGCAGCGTCCAGAGTCTGTTGCAGACGCTGTTGTGTGTCTCTCTGAACTAGATGAATTTTCAGCCAAGCCAGGTTTCCCTGGCCCTTCGATTTCTGGCATGAACACAGTAGGTTGACATCTTGCTTCCTCTCTGGCCAGCTCGATGTGTTCCCTGCGGCACCGTGAGCAGAGAGGCGTGTAGAGAGCGGGTCCGGCGGTAGTGGAGCCTGAGCGCCCCTCCCCGTGGACTCACCTCCCCCGTCCCTGCTTTCTTTAGGAAACAGGCAGAACTTGGTCTGTCTTCTCCACTGCGCTTATCAGTGGGGTTGTCTGCATGCTGCAGTGGAATCTGACTTTCCCTTAACAACATGGGAACTTTCATCTCCATGGGATACCAGTTTTCTTTTTCCTAGAAGCCTTTGTTATTTATTTCGGGCGTTGCTTCCCGTTTATCACGTCCCTTCTGGAGAGGGATTTCTGTCTGGTCCTGTGAAGGCTCCTCTTGCCTTTAAGCCCTTGGTATTCTGTGTCTTCCATGCTGAGATCCAGTCAGTCCTTCGAGTCCCATCTGGACTAGCAGTCCCATGTTCCCGCATTGGCTCATTTGGACAAAAAGCGTTGGCACTTGTTGCATTCTGCTTCCAAGGGCTCTGCATTGGGAATCTGGAATGTGCGTGTTCCGTTGGGAAACCTGCCAAGTGCTGCCCATTCAGCTGCTGACAACGTGGTGAATTTGCAAGTTCCGACATGTTCTGTAGATTAACTAACAGACGAGTGCGCCTGTGACAGCCTGTAACTCCATCCTAGTATTTTATTTCAATGAGAAGCTTTAGAGACATAAGTTATCCAAAAGCCCAGATCACCTAGAAAAAGAAGGTATGGAACTTTATGATGCTGGCATTTGCGATAAGCTAGTGTCTCAAGATGGAGTGCTTGTGGCATGTGCGTCTTATGCAAATAAGGGGCCAGAGCCTGGCGGGTCCCCACCGTTCCCCACCGGTCCCCACCGCTCCTACAGAGCCTCCGGTCCTGTTGCTAAGTGGCCGCGCCCCGTCACTCTGTGCTGTTTCCTGGAGAATGCCACAGGGCTCTGGGGCTTCAAGGCTTCTGAAGGCTCTTTTGGAGCTTCTAGAAAAAATCAGAGGAGGGTTGCAGCGGCCTCCAGGAGTGGAAAGGGGGCCACTGGGCACATCAGCCTGATGAAAGCCCAGGTGCAAGGAGAGCAGGCTTTTGTGGACAGTTGAGCTTAGTGAGGGCGGGAAAAGGCAGAGATGGTGTGGAAGGGCGGGGGAGGAGGCAGTTCAGATGCCTGGTTGCTGGCCCTGGGGTTTTGAGCGTGTGTGACGTGTGCTCATCTTGTTCCCCTGTAGGGACTGGTACAAGCGTAATTTTGCCATCACCTTCTTCATGGGAAAAGTGGCCCTGGAGAGGATTTGGAACAAGCTTAGACCGAAACAGAAGACCAGCAGTTAGGAGCCCACCCTCACCCATCCACCCAGTTCCTCATCTGAGGTTCCTCGAGGAGCAGCTGTCTCTGGGACTCGTTTCACAAGGGTTCTGAAACCTGTGCGCGCAGGGCAGGCTGGAGGACGCGGGTCCCGGTACATACGCCGAGGCCCACGTGGCTCCGTCCTGACTGCGAATTCCACACTGGCTCTTGGCCACTGAGATGAGGGGGCAAATAAAACGCAAGCACTGTCTTCTGAGCTTTGAATTATACCAGTCTGAAGGAGAGGGCTTCCCAGTGGCTCAGGAATAAAAGAATCCGCCTCCAATGGAGGAGACGCACGGTTGACCCCTGGGTTGGGAGGCTTTCCTGGAGAAGGAAGTGGCAACCTATTCTAGTGTTTTTGCCTGGAGAATCCCATGGACAGAAGAGCCCCCGGGCTATAGTCCGTGGGGTCGCAAAGAGCCAGACACGACTGAGCTCACACACACAATTTGGAAGAGAGTGATATAAAAATATTAATAAACTTTGGCTGAAACATTTGACCCCACTGACAGGAATGATCTGGAAGCTGGCTGCGGTGTCTCCATGGCCTCCCCGACCGGTGGGCCCTGGTGACTGGTGATCCCAGGTCCAGGCCCTGAAGACACGCAGCTGTCCTGGGAGTTGCACAGACCCCAGGGGCCCGAAGGGGTGCCTCGGAGTTTTCTCGGTTTACCCCAGTGAGGCAGAGCCTGTTCCCCAAGTTTTCCACAACAGATTGCTACGGGTCATGTCCCTCTCTTTCAATCCTTGTGAAAGCAGCATTGTTTGAAGTAGGGTTATGTGGTTATAAAATGATGGGGCTCCCTCTGTGCTGTGTCCTAGAGCCGTGGCGGTGGGCGGGAGGGCTGTTCTGAAGGACAGATGAAACATCTGAATTTTACCAAAAGGCAAAGGTTTTTATTCCAAAATGAGGTGTGACAGTGGTCGACAGGCTAGGTTTCTTCCGTAGCTTACTAACTGCCACCGAAGATGACCTCCAAGGAGAAATTCCGGAGCCCAGGGGAAGCACCCCCCCACCCGGCATCCCAGCTCCTAAGGGCCCCGCAGACGGACGTGGGAACAGCGAGGTGCCGGGTGAGGCTGCGTGGTCTGTCAGCCCCATGGACTTAACCCAGCGTCCACAGAGGTCCCTGCGGCGAGGAGCGCGTGCACCAAGCAGCCTGAAACACCAGGCTTCCCAGGAAGAGCCCCATCTCACTCATCACGCCACCGCTTAGCACAGCCCGTTTCCAGCCAGGTGACACCGCGGGTCTGTGGAGAGACAGCAGCAGGGCCAGAGGGCCAGGCAGGGCCCTGGTTCCGTGTGAGCGAGCCTGGAGGCATGAACCGTTCTTCGGCCTTCGTTGTTGTTGTTCTCTGGCTTTTAATTCTTGCTCCCATCCGGTCAGACTCACTGACTGGCTTTCAGGTTATTTAAGTCTTAAATGGGAAAGACTGAAGACAGAAGGAGAAGAGGGCAACAGAGGATGAGATGGTTGGATGGCATCACCGATTCAATGGACAGGAACTTGGGCAAACTCCAGGGGGTGGTGAGGGACAGGAAAGCCTGGCGTGCTGCAGTCCACGAGGTTGCACAGAGTCAGACACGACTTGCCGACTGAACAACATGTTCTCCCAACAACTTCCAATGGTATGGTTTCTAATTCCTTTTGCGGATCAACTTTTAGAGATTTTGAGGGTGTCTTTTCACAGTAAGCAGTTGCAAACAGTTAAAAGATCCCTCTTGTTATGAGTTACCATCTCTGTGAAGACTGAGGGAGAGCTTGAAAATGGCCACCTGTAGGCTGGTGAGTGGCCATGCAGACACAGGTGTGTCCTGAGACGCCCTCTGAGATCCCGAGGTCCCGGCGGTTTGCGTGGACCTCCCGACAGCTGATTTATGGGCTCACTGAGCAAATGCATTCTGGGCTTCAGCTGGTGGCCTGCCTGTTGACACACTCCCTGTATTTGTCTTGTCCAAGAACGTCTTCCCTCCGCAGCTCTTCCTGCACGGGTCATAATCTGCCTCCTTGGGGCAGGCCTCCTGAGGTTTCAAGGGACAGAACCTTAGGTAAGCTCTGGGCAAGGGTCAGGGGCCAGTAACAGGTAGAAGCCAGAGCTCTCCAGGAAGAGGCCCCGTGGGCCTCCACACTGGGGAAAGCCCAGCAGCCAGGGCCACTGTATCCCCAGGCTGGGTGCTCGGGGTGGCGGGGCCACGCAGGGCCCGGCAGAGACTGAGGCTCTGGTCCTGCCTGAGCCCCTCAGGGCTGGGGCCAGGAGATGCTGCTACCCTCATGGTTTCCAGAATGCTTCAAGAGTGATTTCGTCACAGCGAGAGAAAAGCGTGTGCACGTCGCCAAAGAAGCCTGCACCCCCGGCAAAGAG